AAGGGAAGGGGGAGCGCTGGGGGCAGGGACGGCTGATGGTTTGTCTGGTATACCTTGTGAGCTCGGTTTTGAAACATCAAGCAGTATGACAAGAGGGATTGAAGTGCAATGGAAGACCGGAATGGGAATTGGGGAGTGTGTCGGAAGATTAGTAGGGATGGATAGCATGGTGTTGATGCTGGCTTGCGAGGAAACCGGTGCTCTGGATTGCGATGGTGAGGGATGGTCTTGTCCAGGGATGTCGAAGCGCTGGAAGGCAGATGCACGAGGCTCAGAGGCAGGGTAAATGGTCAATGGAAATTGAGAACCAGATGGTGGTGCGCTGACTGGGGTGGCCTCTGAGTGCTGGATCGACGAAACACATCGCCTAAATACTGAGGCAGGCAGCACGTCGGACAGACTTGAGGCTACGCATGAAAGCTGTGAGTAATTGACATTGAGCTTACTGAGCATGCAACTCACCTTTCGACCTCACCCCCTCATGCTGACGACGGGCTGCGACCTCCCCCCGTTCTGTTAGGAACTGTGCGCCAAAACATATGCTGCCCCAAACCTGCAATGAACTGTTATCAAACATCGAACCCAGCAGATGTGAGGCATACCTTGCAAGAGACCTCCGAGTTTGCAAGGCATTGACTTGGAATCGTTCTGCATGCTGACTTGTGGAGTGTAGCAGGGAGAGTGGATGTCGTTAAGCCAAAGTGAGATAACCCCAAATTTTATCTGTTCGCAGGGGCTGAGGCACATCACATGTTTGATAGATAAATATGACCCCTCTTCAACTTTGAGAAAGTGCACCCCCTCGCTCATGGCTTCCTCAAATATCAACCTCCTCGCTCGCCCTGTCCAGCTCGCCCTTGGGTGGGAAAAATGCATCCGGAGGATTTTTTCACAGGCCAGAGTCTCGCAGGATGAGAAAGTCGAGTCATATGCCGCAGAATATACATGCATCAGCAGAGATTTGGTGAGTGCAATGTTTTCCAAGTTTAGCATGACCTTACCTTTGCTATCAAAGCTCACCATAATGCCTGAACTCAAGGAGGGCCAATACCCAGTCACACTATTCATGGATCTCCAGGGTGGCCCTGTGGTCGGCATGGGATTCTACAATTTCCAGCCTTCAGTTCATTTCCACAAAATGCAGGTAGCCCTCACACAGTTCGACTATGAGCACTCCGTGGAGCCGGGTAAGCACATGTCGGTACTCTAGCTTCCGCTTCACAAGCAGGAGGAACTTCAACGCCAGGTCCCTGAAGTTCCTGTCAACATCCCTTACCCTGTTCGTGACGATGGGTCTGTCATGTACCCACCCAGTTTCAATTTCGACTTTGGCTCTTTTCTGCCCTTGGCGTCCAATGACGGTCAGCCGATCGCAACTGCGGAGTCCGCTGCACAAGCGCCCATGTCCACCACTGGGCCGGGGGGTGACAACCCCACCACCGCACCGCCTCCAGCTTCAGACGCCTCGGTGCCTGGTTCAACTCCAGTGGTTGGCCCCGCTCTGACAGTTGTCCCCACTCTTGCCCCTGCCCCTGCTGCAATCACTGCCCCTAATCCACCAATTGCACCATCTTCGACATTGGGCCACACTCCAACCCCTGCTCCGACTCTACCTACGATAGTTCTCCCCGTCCAACCCGCGCTCCCAACCCGTGTTGTTCAGACAACCTGGCCATACAAGAAGTCAACAACTGCAGCCTCGCAAACCAGTTGCACCCCAATCGTTGACTTGGAGGGACAGAACATTGACAAGTCCAGTCCCAAGAAGCAGTCATGTGTGCCAACTTCAAAGGCTATAATCGTCAACAGCGACGCAGAGCTTAGCCCCAACACCTTACCATGGAACAGCCAGCCGGAGAATGGTGCACAGGACATCGCTCATGCCATTAACTCTGTGATGGCCACCTCGAGCTCTCCGCAGCAGTCCTCTGGCAAATGTTCTAATTGCGCAACGGCCTTGCTCGCATGTGTCCATGCTCCAGGTGAGGGGAGAAAGCCGTGCAAATGGTGCATGGAGGGAGGCTACCGGTGCAGCTTTGTTGACTGCACGTGCTGCATTTATCATCGTATTGCATGCATCCCGTCCTCGAAGACCATTTGCGAACCCTGCAACCAAGCCAAGGAGAAGTGCAGTCATGTTCCAGACAAGCCGATGCGCACCAAGGCAGCGCCGGAGGGCACCAAGTCACGACCGGAGGAGGCTGAAGCGATGGCGCTGGCGGACGACAAAGACAAGCCTCTGGCCAAAGCCACCAAACCTTGTGTTTGAAAGCAACCTGCTAAACTGTGGAAGGCGACCCCCTCCAGACTCTCTGAGGGAGGCGATCAAGGTTCGTCGTCTGGCACTGAAATTCCATTCTTGTCTTAGCAAAAAATTGCAGCACTGATCGAATCACTCGAACAGCTCAAGACCTACTTCAAGGCTTATACTGATGAGCAGGACACCCTTTGTGAGACGGTCGGGCGGCTTCAAGAGCGAGTCGTCCAACTAGAAACATCGAACACCTCATTGCCAATTCATCACGACTCAGTTAAGCCACCTGGTCAACACCAACCAGCAGACCTCCCTGGAAGTGAAGACCAGCTTCCAGGCAATAGTTGACGCATTTACCACCCACACGGAGAGACTTCAAGAACTCAGCAAGACTGTTGCAAGATTCAACAACGCCACCGAGTCTGCCTCAATGGATGCCTTGGCTACCGGTGGGTTACCCGAACAGAATCCCGGAGCTCTTTACCAGTCCGACTTCCTAGACACAGGCGATTTCTATCCGCAAGCCGACATGCTCCAGCAAGTCCATGGTGAATTTACTCTGGCAATGCAGATGACGGTCGATCCACAAGCCTTAGTGATGCAGCAACAACCGGAGCAGCAGTTCAACTTCCCCAGCATGAACACCTTGCCTCAGCATCAAACCACAGCCCCATCGACTTCTTACACGCAGAACTCCTCACAGGTTGACACCTTCATGTGCCTCGTGATTCCAGCAGACCTCAACATGAATATGCACCCTCAGCACCTGGTCCAATGCCCTAGCTCGATGCCTGGAGGGATGCCGACCACCTCAAACTTCGGTCCAGTCAACATTGAGCGGCCTAGGTCTGGTCCCGCCATGCAGGTACATAGTCAGGTCAAGAAGCGTCTGGCAGACGAACTTCAACAGTTAATGATGAAGCGCGGCCGCATTGGTTAGTTTTCTGATGGACCTTCATACTAGTCCAATACTCCCCGCAGGCACATAGAACTGTTACACTATCCATAGTTAGTGTTCTCTATTCCTGACCTGCAATTCACGTTGATTGACTTGGGCTGTGCCCAAAATTTCAGAAACCCAGAGACAGATGAATCCATCTTTCCAGGGTAAGTTGGTATTCAAATCGTAAAAGTATTCTAACTATGCATGACCCCTATGTTTCTTGCTCGATGCAGGCTTTTCCAAGGCCAACTCCGAGAGGTGAATATAACGGTCCACCTCTTTGGGTTTGTGTGCACACTTGCCGTGACCCATGTTCTCATCTTCAGGTTCGAGCAAGTCCTCCTCCCGCCGACGTTTGCTGCCCTCACGATGATCGTCATGCTGAGGATGGTGCATGCCCACATCTTGAGTGTTGACAATCTGCGACTGGATAAGTGGGTTGGGGCCTGGCAGAACAGGTCGACAGAAATTCAGCATCGACGGAACGGTGAGACCAGGATCCAATGAGACTGGTGAGCGTCGATGCATCCACTCATGTTCATTTGGCACAGAGTCGGGTTCTTCACCATCCGTGGGCAACTGCAACCCACAGTGGCTCCCTCCGGCCAGAGATGGATCATCTGCGGCATTAGTCTGTCTTGCCTTGGTTGGATCACCTGCAATATCAGCCTGTCTCCCTCTGGCTGGAGATGGATCACCTGCAGTGTCTGCCTGTCCTGCCTCAGCTGGTTTGACCTCCCTCTCATCACATTCTGGCGTTTCCAATTCCGAGTCGGACCTCCTACACTCACTCCCGGAATCGCTGTTGAAGTCTTCCTCCTCTCCGGGCTGGTCTTCAGTTGGAGGCTTTTCTTTCTTCTTCCTTGGGGGAGCGCTGTATCGGATGGGGATCATTGTCAGATCGCAGGTGCTGGTAGTGACTTGATGAAAACGGAAAATCTCCCCAGGTGAACACTTGGACTGTCGATCCCTCCAGAACTCTAGGAGTGTGTTCACGTCTTCCTGCTTCATGTCGGACGGCTCAACAAGGTCGAAGCCTTTTGGAAGGTACTTTGGCTGAATGAAATCACGTTGCTGATCATTGATACATGCCCATGGTACCTTTGTCTTCTTCCGGCCGGTGGCAAAGCCTATTCGCGTGTTTCCGTGAACTCATAAAAGAAGAAAGCTGAGTGATACTCACAGTAGTGCAAGGTCATGAAACTCCAGATGATGTGCTTGTCATAAGGAAGTGAATCTTCACGAGATTGGGAAGGAAGAAGTGGGTACCCTTTTCTATCTCTGGCCAACTCGAGGATGTGTTTTCGCAGCCTCACTCTGACAGGCTCTGGGTTCTCTCCATTTAGTTCGCCATCTTGATACTGGAGGTACCTGTTCAGATATTTGTCGATGTCCGCAAATTCTTTGGGGTAGCGCTCTGAGAAGCTCTGCACATCGTGTTGGCCAAACTCACCTGTGAAATCATGACTGGCGTTCAAGTTAGCACTGGCTCACCATATTTGCACACAAGTTGCTTACGTCAAATACCACCAGTCGCCTCCAGCAGCTGGATGGACTTCCAGCATAATAACTTTCATCCCCATCTCCTTGTGCAACTGTTCTGCCATTGCTCTCAAAATCTTCTTCCCGTGTGTAGCAACCGTCCTGACCTCATTAATTTGATGCCTACTCTATGATCCAATAACCAAATACCTCATCTGCACCTCCGGCGGATATGACTCCTCCATCCATCTGTCCTGTTCTTCTTCTGCATCTCGGAGCTGTTGCGCTGTGAGCAAGTTCTTCAGTTCCTTGAGGGATGCTTGATAGTGCTGAAGGTAAGCAGGGGTACCGCTTGTGGCTCGATTTGAGCGACGATGGAGGATTGCACCAAGTTCTGTCGGGTACAAATGCGCGATTACCCTCTTCAAGGGGATACTGTGGGACAAGGAAAAGCGAGCCCGCAGGCCCTTCGCGTTGTTAACCAAAGCTTCACTTGCTGTGAAAAGGTAAGATTGCGAAACAAAGTAATTTGGCTCATTCCTTACAGCTTTATGGAGCTTCCATTGATCGACCATGAGGTCTTTATTCAGCTCTTTGATTGCAGGTAGCATGGTGGTGATGAGAAGATTACGGCGATCTGTGCTGTTCGCACCACGAAAGGTTTCAACGTGATCCTTCAGAACATTACGCTCCGCTGAAGACCACTTGACTTTGCCCATAGGTAGCTGGCAGCTTGTAGAGGGAGGATTGGGACTCAAATGCTGACTTACTGGTTCATCCTGGTCAGTATTTGTATCTTGTTGTGGTTCAGGGTCAAATGAGTACTTGCTGTGGAAAACCTTGGTTTGTCTCAAAGGGACTAAAACCGTCTGACAACAAACAAACAAGATGCATCTTAGAACATTTGGCACCGCCTTTCAACAATATGCATAGTCAGATAATGACGCTTCATTCCCAATGAGGTAAATGCGCCACATCAAAGAAAAGTGGAGGTTTAATTATTTCATATCTTCATGATATAAAATTTCACCGTTGAATCTCCTTCATCACTTACATGAGAACCACTTACTGTATAGCATTATCCTGAAGTACTCTGCTTTAGAAGAGAAGAGTCTAGTTGGAAACGGTGTACATTTTGAAGATCATGAGATGATAAGGTCGTCGAGTTGTTGTTGAAGCCGAGTACATGATTAGAGAGAAGTTTCTTTCTCAAAATCATGCACTCAACTTCAACTACAACTCATAATAAGGTCCCCGAGATTTTGTCAAAGCCGAGTGCATGATTTTGAGAAAGAGAGATGAGGTGGGGTTATTAGAGCATACTCTATCTCAAACTGAACTCCTCTCTGCGTAATATTCACCCCACCTCTCTTCTCTTTTATTTCTCAAAATCATGCACTCAGCTTTAACTATAACTCATAATAAAGTCACCGAGTTAAGTTATAGTTGAAGCTGAGTGCATGATTTTGAGAAAGAAAGAGAGATGAGGTGGGGTTATTAGAGCGTACTCTATTTCCAACTGAATTCTTCTCTGCGTAATATTCACCCCACCTCTCTTCTCTCTTTGTTTCTCAAAATCATGCACTCGGCTTCAACTACAGCTCATAATAAGGCCACCGAGATATAGTCAAAGCCGAGTGCATGATTTTGAGAAAGAAAGAGAGATGAGGTGGGGTTATTAGAGCATACAGCGTACTCTATCTCAAACTGAACTCT